GTCTAACCACATGAGGATTACCCAATCCCTGGACATTCCAACATGTTGTTCGTGCAATTAAAGATGATATTAGTAGAATGCGTCTGAATGAGTTGAAAACGGATTACTTAAGTTCCCAGACGAAGCCCTTCCAGATCACAAAATTGGTTGAATTTGAAAGTCATGCTTCTGAGATTTTTACGCGCGAATCTTTTCATGCGTTCTAAGAAGAACTTCAACAGGAGACATTGTACCAGATTTCAAGAAGAGATTCAGTCCTTATCAGATGAATGCCAATATTTTTATTTGAAAAGTATAAAGAAAAAATAGGACATTTGAAATTAGTTTTGATTTTCGTACGAAAACCCTAAATTGCTCATACAAAAAATTCAAGACCGTTGGACTTCCATGTCGCCATCAACTTCATGTTTTGAAGCAATTGGATTACACATATTTTCCCGGGTCTTTAATTCAAAGTAGGTGGACTAAGGATGCGAAGGCTTCTGCACCCAGTTTTGTTGATTTGAATGTGCCTCCAGAAATAATGCAAATGACAAGGTTTGCTTCTCTACGTGCAACAACAAGTATGTTATGCTACGCTGCATCAAAGACAGATGCGTCTTTCAAAACCGCAAGAGATGAGATGAAAAAACTAACAGAAGAATTTGAGAACTCATTTGGTTTGAATGATTTAGTCAATCGAAGCAGTGTATTAAACAACGTTCGCGACCCTCAACGGAAACAACATAAGCGAAAAGAAGTAACAAAGAATTTTTTAATATCAGCCAATTCAGTCATCAAAATGTATACCTTTTCGTCAACAGATTAAGTTCCCTCAACACCTCAACTTCATTCACCACTACATCTACCTTTCCTTCCACTTCCCCCTTATGCCTCTCAAGTGTCTCTTCTACTCTTGATTGTCTTTGATGAATATCAAAAATGATTTTTTTAATATTAGCCAATTCAGACATCAAAATGTCGAATTTACTCTGTTTTCCCTCACCGTAATCCCCCGACTGTCATCCACCCCTTCAACCATCTCTTCTTCCTTCTCCACTACCTCCTCTGCTTCCTTTGCCTCCTCTACCTCCTATGCCTCCTCTACCTCCTTGACAATAACCTTCAAAATTAAATTTGTATTAAGACATTGATTATATTCTTAATATTATTTAATTACATTTATTACCATTTCTAGCTTCCTCGGTCTATCCAACTTCAACTTCGCCATAACTCTAACCACCTATTCCTTCCTCCATGCACGGATGCGTGCCACTCCGTTTCTTTCGTAAGCCATCAAACTATCACAGCCCTACCAAAAATCGAACAGTGCAACTTGCATTTATAATAAAAAAATATCATTTTATATAATAACTATACTATCATTTTATATTAAAAAAACATTCTTCAACTCAGTTACCTCTAAGATTGCTATGCACCCTTTGAGGTATCTATGGTTGCCCTTTTGAAAGGTGATTATTGATTCAATCAATCTCGAATAGACATATTCAGCCCAATTGAATTCACCCTTCAAGCCTTCATCGCAAATGAGCTTCATATTGTCCTTGTTCGTTGACGTATCACCCGTTAGACAAAGAAATATCCCGAAAAGGTACAATAGAACTCAGGCCTTCAGGTCATCCCCCCGTAAGATCCACTTTTTATATCCTCTTCAACTTTAGCATATGTCACATTCTGATTCAAACCATATTTGGAGGCAAGTGCTTTCCAGTTCTTACTCCTACAGACTTCTACAACACTTTTGCCTTTGTTTTGTACCCCCAAGACGGCTGCAGCAGTTGATACCCCCAGAGGGAATGAATAATCACCATATTTAGCAATACATTGTTTGACATCAAATTGCTCCATCAAGGATCGACACAATTCCCTCCGAATTGGTCGATCCCCTACTCCTATCAACGATCCAAACCTCATTTCCCTCAGCACATTCAATTGATCCTTCTCTTTAAGGTGTTCAATTAATGAATTCACCCTTTTTATGTTGCACATTGTCGACACTTCCTACATTTTTTAACAATATATAATGTTATTGTTCTTATATATCTTGTATCAACGTATTTACAAGTTTAATGAATACCTTCTTTTCATGTGCTTTCATCCGTTCTTTGTATTCTTTACTATCATTCATTGACTGTGTGATGTAAGGTTCCTTTTCAGCATCACTCATCGAATTCCATTTCGACCTCACATCTTCTGTCACCTAATATTAAGCATAAATGTTTCTTAATCAATACATTAACGCTAAATAATACTCAATGTCAATTTCATTTTACATACCGAACCGCTGTGTGTGCTATTTTCCTTCATCCTTTTGCATTCGACCATACTGTCAACATTTAAAATTTGTAATCAATTTAAAGTTCTTAAATACTTTAATCCAATTACCATTTCAACAATAATAACAAAAAGACATTGATACTTACTAGAAGTACATATATCCACCCTTTGGTTGCTTTCCACCCATTGACTTCATTTTTCCTTCATATATCAGTTTGCGTAAATCAAATCAAATACTGCTTACATACACTTTATTCAATATACAAAAATCAATAACTACTCTTTGTGGTAAAACGGTTGGTCTTCAACAGAATTTGAATGACCACTACAACAAGTGTCGGCACATTTATACAACCTAAAATATCATTTTCTATCTATAATATCATTTTTACCTATAATATCATTTTTTACATATAATATTAAATAAAAGTATCGATATCGATCTCAAATGTTTCTTTACTTCGAAAACCCCAAACAAACAACAACACATAAAAACTATATTTCTGATTATTGTAATAATAAAAAACTAGGGTTTCAACAACGTACCTTTCGATTCGACTGCAGCAACAAACAAATAAAACTTAGCCGTAGAAACGCCTTCTGAAATGCAACAACAATTACGCTTCGATTTCAAAAACTTTATCTATTTTCAGAGGAAATTTAGCTATGTCTTTATATTTACATCGGATATGTTATTTATATTTAATCGATACAACTACCTAAGTGTCGATACTTTTATGTCAAGTGTCGATACTTTCGATAGGATATTTACCTATTTCTTTGAAAGTATCAATAATTTATTACGCGTACTTATTAAAGTATCAACACTTTCAACATATTCAGTAGCGCTTTACCGGTTTTGTCATTTTGAGACTGGTTTTGTCATATTTTTACCTGTTATATTGTTATAGATCGATACATTTTTTTAAAGTATCGACACTTTATAGGCGCTATAACTTCTTCTCTTTTAAATTTCAAAAGTGTCTATACTTATATTAAAGTATCGACACTTTCAACATATCTGGTAGTTATTTACCTGTTTTGTCATTTGAAACCGGTTTTGTCATATTTTTAGCTGTTATATTGTTATAGATCGATACATTTTCATAAAGTGTCGACAATTTTTAGGCGTATAACTTCTCTCTTTTAAATTCCAAAAGTGTCAATACTTATATTAAATTATCGACACTTTCAAGATATCTGGTATCTTTTTATCGGTTTTGTCATTTGTAGACCTCTTTTGTCATATTTTTACCTGTTATATTGTTATAGATCAATACATTTTTTTAAAGTATCGACACTTTATAGGCGCTATAACTTCTTCTCTTTTAAATTCCAAAAGTGTCGATACTTATATTAAAGTATCGACACTTTCAACATATCTGGTAGTTATTTACCTGTTTTGTCATTTTGAGACCGGTTTTGTCATATTTTTAGTTGTTATATTGTTATGGATCGATACATTTTCATAAAGTGTCGACACTTTTTAGGCGTTATAACTTCTTCTCTTTTAAATTCAAAAAGTATCGATACTTGTATTAAATTATCGACACTTTCAACATATCCGGTAACATTTTATCGGTTTTTTCATATTTTTACCTGTTATATTGTTATGGATCGATACATTTTTTTAAAGTATCGACACTTTATAGGCGCTATAACTTCTTCTCTTTTAAATTCCAAAAGTGTCGATAATTATATTAAAGTATCGACACTTTCAACATATCCGGTAGTTATTTACCTGTTTTGTCATTTTGAGACCGGTTTTGTTATATTTTTAGTTGTTATATTGTTATGGATCGATACATTTTCATAAAGTGTCGACATTTTTTAGGCGCTATAACTTCTTCTCTTTTAAATTCAGAAAGTGTCGATACTTATATTAAATTATCGACACTTTCAACATATCCGGTAGCGTTTTACCGGTTTTGTCATTTTGAGACCGATTGTCATATTTTTACATGTTATATTGTTATAGATCGATATATTTTTCATTTGTATCGACACAAACCGACAAGCTAAGTTTGTTGGTTGCCAAATTTTTTAATATTTCTTCATGATTTAGACTTACTACATTATTATTACTCAACATTTCCGGTAGCGCTAAACCGAATTTATTAAATATATTATAATATATCCGGTAACGCCGTATATTAGTCCGTATTTCCTGAGACAATCCCAAATCTTCTTCTATATTGTTTGTTATGAGATCACAAGTGCACGAGAAACAAAACTCAAAGGCAAAACCTTAAGACAACCAGCGACCGAGAGAAAAAGGGAAAAAACCCTAGAAAACCGTATTAGGATTAAAATTACCATTTGTTGGGAGTTTAAATTATTAAAAATTAATATAAGGTCTATATAATCTTGTACAACCGAATTTTTAAAGTTTTAATTAGAGTATGATTTATTTTTTTGGAATTACAAAGAATTCTTCTCTTAACATATATAAGGAGTATTTTTATTTATCAATAATATTGAAGTATCCTTTGGGCTTTGAGTAATTGAATTGTAAAATTCTTTCGTCTTATTTTTTTTAGAAATTGTTTTAATAAGATTTTTCTTGAAAACCTTTTGGTTATTCATCTTTAACCTTATTCTTGCCATTTTTTGAAGTGGAAATCAAAACGGTTATCATCATCTCTATGCAGAGAGGATTAACCCCAAAAAAGTGAAGGCAAAAGAATAATCAACAACTAATTTAGATTTGGGGTTTCTATATATATATATATAGTTGACAAGATTTATGGAATTTGTTCACACTTGCTGATCATAAGCTGTAAAAGAGAAGTTGCTTTTCTCTGAGCTCTATTTGTTCCACTCTGCTTGATCTTAACTAAATGCTCATATACCCCAAACTGAAGGGCTGCAAGGATGTGAGATGAATTATTCGAACTCAACTCGAGAAGAACCGAGGTTGCACACTCCTTGTTCTTAGGGGTTCCGTTTTTTATGAAGTCGACAAGAGTTTCGATGAACGAGAGCTGTCCGATCTCGTGTCTCCCCTCCGGGAAAATTGCAAGAAGTAATAAGATGGAGAGAGCCTCATCAACCATGCCTTGGTTCTTGTCCTCGAGTAACTCCAGTAATGGTGGGACAATGCCAGCTTCAATAGCCCTTACCTTATTTAAGTGGTTGAGAGATAAGCTGAACAGTGCAGTGACAGCATCCCTTTTACCTCTAATCGTGCCGTTCTGCAACAAATCCACAAGCGGGGGAATGCCATCTTCGAGAGCTATCGTCACTTTGTTCTCGTCAAGCATCGACAAGCTAAATAAAGCGGCTGCCGAATTCTCTCTCGTCTCCATACTTCCCTTTTGCAAGACTTCTATTATCGGGGGTATGGCGCGTTCATCGGTTATGAGCCTCTTGTTAGACTCGTCAATGGATAAATTCAATAAAGCTGTAACCACATGCTCTTGGATCTTAGAATCCGGATAGGACAACAGATGCACTAACTGTGGTATTGCTCCATTTTTGGTTATCAAAACTCTGGCCTCTGGATTCTCCTTGGAAAGCATACGGATATTCTTCACGGCCATTCTCTGCACTTCTAATTGACTGGAAGATAGTTCGTTAACCAGACAAGCCATTTCGTCTTTGTGATCAACCAAGAATCTCTTGGAAGATGGATGATCCTCTTTCTCGGGGAGATGAATATTGTTCTTCTCACACCATTGCGTTATAAGGCTCTTGAGGGCATAATTTGGTGCCACTGACAAGTGAGCTAGAGTCTGCCTGGTCTTTGGACAAGTTCGATGGTTAGAATCAAACCACTTCTGGATGCTTTCCCTTTCAAATGTCTGAATTTCATAAAAAAAAATAAACATATAAAATCAAAAAGTTTCCCATAACATAACATGGTGATCATCTTGTAAAATAAACGATAAATTGTCACGATCCGCCAACTGACAACGTACTACTGCTTCCTTGGGTCTCTTCATACTGGTGTCATGAACACAAGGTACATGGCCTAAGAAAGTAGCAGTACCTTACCGATTGACTGATCATGATACATATAAATTTCATACTGTATTAAAAAGAACCGAATATGACCCAAGCTAGGTCGGCTCTTCATTGATGCAAAGCTTTTTTTGATGGAAAAAGTTGAACTGTAACGGTTGTTAACGGTTCACCTCTTGTGATTTGGGTGGAGAGTCGCGGTTGTTTGATGGAGAAAAAGTAGAGAGTAGACGGACTGAAGATGACGATAAACAAAGGATCATTATATAATTCACCATACAAGGCGTCATTTCCACTTCCCCTCCACCAAACAACCGGCCGTTTCTTTCCGTCTAATCTAAAAGGGATGATTTGCTAACAACATCTACAACCCAACTTTTTCTAACACTTCTACATTTGTTCCTTCAAGTGTATACATATAAAGTTACCTGTCCACTGGCAACAATAACAGGATCTCTCATTATTTCAAGTGTGATAGGACAGAGGAACTCATGAGGGATGACCAAAGATTGGGATTTCCCCGGTATTTGATGAATGGAAGGATCATCAAGAACATTGGTAATTTCCATGCCTACAAAGTGCTTGAATTTGTTGAGAAGTCGTATAATTTGCTGCTGTGTAGACTCTGAAATGCCGCCTCTCTCTTTAGCAAGTTTCTGTACAGCTACGGTTTCTATCTTCAAGTCCTCAACGGTATGTAGCTCTAGCTTTTTGGCCAGCCTTTCTACTATGGCTATATCAGCATTCCTTTCGTCAGTTTTTGAGGAAACCGCCATCAGATCTACAGCAAGCTCCATATCTTGTGTATCTGCTCTCTTTTTGGCTCGGGCTAATTGTGTCAGCATCAGCTGAATCTGATTTACAATCCAGATACAATTTTATATAAACATCATAAATATATTATTACCAATAATCAAATTTACCTACTTTAAATATGAAACATATCCTATCAGAAGTGTTTATGCTTCATAATCTTATATATATGTATGTGTATATGCATATATAGATATATGTATATTGACATGCAAGAAAGATAATATTTTCTTATATACCTGTTCCCTCACTTCGTCAGATACCTGAAGTTCATCATAAGGCAACTCTTCCAAAGCTTGAGTCAACTTTCCGTAAACAGTGTGGAATTTGATCGTTACGGCCTCACTCTTGAATGTCTGAATTACAAAGGCAAAACTCAGAACATATATTTAAAGCAACAATTAGAAATTTTTTTTCATATCCATGATTATTGAGGATGGTCATGGATCAAATTAGGTTTTTAACTCATCCGACATTCAGCTTGACTCAGTTTTAGGAAGGTTCAACTGACCCGATTTTTTGAGATTAAAACCTACAACTGAACTAATTCGACTCAACTCAAATATAATATATATATATATATATTATTAGGTAAAATAAACATCTAATTGAAAAATAAATAGGACTATTATTACAATTATTTAGATAATTATAGTATCTCATATCAGGTTGGTTTTTTTAACTCTAAATCTAAGTGCTTAAACTTATCCAAACCCAAATTTTTAAAATAAAAGACTGAACCAATCAAACAAAATCAGATTAGAACCTGCCGAGTTATGTTAAAATGCGCATCCCTAAATTGACATTACAAAATATAAATGATTATATCCGCAAATTGATGCATGTATCCCTCTTACCAGGTAAATCTTGCTACCCTCGTTGCAAGTTTTCAACAGCTTCACCGCCAAACGAATCGCTTTCTTCAACTTAGACAAAGAAGCCACACCATTCGGGCTGATCGGGGAACCGAGGTGCCGAATTTCATCGAATAAAGGCAAGAAAACCTTCAACCGCCTAACCATATTGTAACACTCTTTCTTTTGGGTTCTCCGATAATCCCCAAATCGAGAAACGTATTCGATCATATTCACCATTTTATCAACCAAACAGGCGGGCGATTTCGTTCCGTTATCTTCCCCGAACTTCTCAAATCCTCCGTCTTCGCCATCTCCGTCTCTTTCTCCAGCATCCATCACCATCTGAAGTTGTTTTCTGCTATAGCAACCCCATTTCCCTATATCTAGACCACTATCAATCTGATGTGGCTGACTTGCCAAGCGCCGGCTCAATTTTTGGCTAGACTAACTCAAGATGTAAACCCGATTATCTATACGTCAAACATGAATCACTGATAATATTATCCGGGAATGAAAGAGGGAGATCATCATAGAGACATGCAAAGAAACCCTAACCCTAAATTTGCATGAATGTCTGAGTGTTTTATTGGTACGTGAGTGAAATTCATTTGCGGGTTTTTCGTGTCATCTGTTAGAATTATTAAGTTTTTTTCGCTGCTTTTTCCTTAAAATAGAATCAAAGTTTGTTACTCTTAAATGGACGGCCATGGTTTGCTTTTATAAGTTCAAATAATTAGTTAGGGAGGGCAACCAGACGGGTCGGGTGCGGATACTCCTCCTCCATCCTCATATCCATCTAATATTTTTAAATTCACCACCCATCCACCACCCATGATGAGTAAAATTTTTCAAATCCACATCCGCCCACGCGGGTACATTCTCAAATATATCTCCACACTCACTACTCAACTGGAGACGTACCCGGCTAGACCCACCTGACAGCAACATTAAGTTATACATAAACAACAAACATAAAACAAACACGTCCATTAAAAAACATAATAAAATAAATCAAGGATTATTTGAGTTAAATGTTAACATAGATCTTAAAGTACATAAAACACCATAATAAAAGACATAATTAAAGCTTAGAAACATAAATGACAAACACATAATATTTTTGTTCTTTGACACACATAGATGGCAAACCCTAAAATTATATCTAAATTTATAATGATCCAAAATTTAATGAGTATTTAGTGGACGGGCGGATGCGGCGCGGATAAGGTCTCAAACCCATCACCCACCCACTACCCACTAAAGTTATACCCATCCCCGCCCCAATTAGAGCGAGTACGGTATGAAATCTACGAAATTATACCCGTTTATCATCCCTATAATTAGTATTGTTAATTATTTTATTTAAAGTTTTAATATTATTGTTTTTCAAAAAAAAAAGTCTAAATTAATTCTTTTGTGTTGGAATAAATGTTTTTAAGAAAGGAGTATATAGTGTTTCTTTATTAATCTACGATGATTATAAATAGTATACGTTATAAAAGCTCTTAACCGTTCGATAAAAAAAATTTAAACACTTTTATAATCTCTTGTGCTCGAACTTAGAATATATAGAGATAACGTCTATCTCTTTAACCACTTAGGTAATTGGTTCATGCAGGAGCATGAGCATATATCATTTTAAATTGAAATAATTAACTATTCAAATTAACTAATGAAATTATAAAGTAAAACAACTGTTACTAAATTATAGGAATATAAATAACAAATTTAGTAGTATAGGGATCAAAAACCAAATTTCACCAATAGATGAAGGGTTGATTTCATGAGGTTCTAAGTTTTCTTTTAGGCTTTGCTTAGTTCCGATTTATTATCATAGTTGTTTTTTTTAGTTATTTTAATGTTTAATGGTATCAAACATCCCTAACTTAATATAATTGATCTCAAATTTTAAATATTTTAGTTAAAATTTTAAATTAGTAATATTACTTTGAATATGTCCTATTAATTTAGTCATTAAATTATTACCTTGGGAGTTAAATATCAATTTAATTTTGATGTAAAGTATATTTAAAATAATAAAAATTTATATACCGAACACTTATTAATAGACCATTTAAATTTAAGATTTTGAAAAAAATAATTTTATTAAAATTTAATGATATAACTTATATTTATATATAGATTCACATAATATAAGTCTTTTATTAATGTGTTACGTCGTCAACTTAACGGCATTTAATATCTCTGTAATCAAAACTCAACTTTTTCAAATTTGATGAGTATAAATATATAAAAAAAATGTAAATGATCATTCCGATAGCGTACCATATTTTAAAGCAAGAATAAAATGTATTTGGGTCATAATATTTCATAATCCAAGTTTCTTAGTATTTTTTTTGTTGCCCTCAGTTTTAAGGATTTGTCCTGATTAATTTGGACCGACCTGTGTCGCACACCTAATTTTGGTGGTGAGTATCCAGCATGGTTCAACCCAAAAAAACCGAAGAAATATAAATAATAATAAAAGTAAATTATATAAATGGTTACTGAACTTTTACAGTGTTTACATTTTGCTCTATCAAATTTTTAAAACTTACAATACCATTACTAAACTTTTTGTTTACTTTTACTATAATCACTAGTATTAAAAGCCGACACGAAACATTGAAATTTTCTTCCCAAAAGACTTAAAGTCTTGTTTTAAAGCGACAATCATCAGCCTCATTTTGCTTATAATACGACCGACTAGAAATCATAACACTCGTCATATTAAATTTTTATTGTTATTTCATCCAAGTCTCAAATACAACTAAAATGCCTTTACCATGTGGTCCTTAGGATTTATTAGGGTATTGGATGGTGTTGCATAAGATGAAATTAGCTACCAGCAACAGGAACACAACTACTATCCTAAATGGGAGCCATTGAAGTGCTACTTTTATTCCATTTGTTGAGAAACCTTGAGAAATGTTGAGGGAATCCTATGAGGGGTAATTGTTTAGTGTGTTTAGTGTCGACGATGATAGAAAGAACGTCAAATAATAACGGTACAATACAATTATCTTATAAGTTTAATGACCATTTATATGTATGTAAAGAAGGTCGACGATTGTCGATTTGAAAGAAGACTTTGAGATTTTTTTAGGGAAAACGATTTTAAAGTGCTAAATCAGCTTTTTCTTAAGGACGATGATTGTGATAAAAGAATATTAAAATTTTAGTGTCTATATTGCATGTAATAAAAGTTCAATAACTAAAGTGTAAGTACTCTATAAGTTCAGTGACCATTTCTATAGTTTAAAATAATAACAAAAAAGGCCTTACAATTTGAAAACACGTGGCATCGGAGTTAAGCGTTGTGACTTTACATCCAATTAACTAGCCGTTAGATTTGAAATTATAGAAGTTCTGTTTGCCTCTCTATTTAATTTGGTCCTTTACTGTAAAAGAAAAGGAAAAAAAAAACCCCAAAAAAAAAACTGAACGGGAGAAAGAAAATAGAAAAGTGTGAGAGAGAGAGATCACTCCATTGCTGTCCATTTTCAAATGACAAATTTGGGTAATCTCTTTTTTTAATTTCATTTCCCCCTTTTTCCCGTGAAGTGAAACATCAAACGAGACGGGGTTTCTGATTGGAGTTCAAAGATCAACGAGGAAAATTCTCTTGAGACAGGTTCTTGACTGTTCTCTTATCGAAGACGATTTGCTTCTTTCTTTAATGGGTCTTATCATTTCTTTCAGTTTCATTCATTTTTATAAAAAAAATGATTTGTTTTAGTTTTGATCGATGGGTCTTGATTTTGACGACCTTCATTAGGGGATTCTTATTCTATATATACGTTGTTTGTAGATACGGAATATATGGCTGGATCAGACGAGAACAATCCTGGAGTCATCGAACCCTCAAATCTTCAAGGTGACTGATTAAACCCCATTTTTTTATGTTTAAATAACTAGTCGAAATTTCAAGTTTTTAAAGAAACATGTTTTCTTTTTAATTTCAAATAAAAGGGGGTTTGCGTGCGGGCATAGGTGGGAAGTCGGCGGCGGCGACCGGGCAGAATCGAAGAGCATTGGGCACAATTAATCGTGATGTACTTGGAGCTCCACCTAACCCATGTGCTGTCAAAAAGAGACCTTTATCTGAGTGAGTAATTTCTTAAAATCCTCTGTTTGGTTGCCTAGAACAGAAAAGAAAGTGTTCCCCTTCTTCTTCCTTCCAGTTTGCTATTGTTGGCTTTGTTTGTGATTCCTGAATAATATACGAGTAAATGATGTAAATGAGTGGGGTTCTCTTGGTATTCAAGGGGCCAAAAACGAGTATTTCTGTTTTTCTCAGCAGCAAGAAAAATGATGATTTGTAATCAAGGAATAGTGTTGATGTTCTTTGTCCATTTTCCTTTTGTGTTTAATTCAGAAGAAATGAAGTCTCTAATAAGATCCCATCCAAGCATGTGCATAGACCTATTACTAGGTCAGTGAAATTTTCTGTATGTTTGTTGATGTTTGTTTTGGTTTCCAGAAAACATAATCTTCTGTCCTCTTTTGCTTATGGTGGTTCTCTTTATCAGGAAGTTTGCTGCCGAGATGGCTAACAAGCAGCAAATCAAACCCCAGGTACCAATTCTACAATGATAATTTTTAGGCATTACTCAAACATTGATGATTACGATTAGTTACTCTTACAGGTAATCAAGGAATCAGTCCTTCCGGTGCCAGCTCCAAATCAACCTGATGATTGCATTGTCATAGATTTGGATGACCCCGAGGCAAGTAATGAATCCGATGTGCAGATGTTTGCGCAACACGCTGAAGCTATGTCGGAGGAGATTGACCGGATGGTATAGGACATTTCCCTTCACCGACTCATTGATCGATTTTGTATCATGGTTTTATATGTTTGAAAGGCACTGATGTTTATGCTTCTACTTGCAGGAGGTTGAAATGCAAGACATTGATGAAGAGCCTTTTCTGGACATTGACAACTGTGATAAAAGTAATCCTCTAGCAGTTGTCGAGTACATTGATGATTTATATGAGTTCTACAGGAAGGCAGAGGTGATTTCATGCTCATTTGCAACTTAAATTGAGTAATTAATGAGTGGTTGATTCTCTCAACTTTTTTTCATTGATTTTTGCAGTGTATTGGTCGTGTTCCTTCAAACTATATGGCACAACAACGAGACATTAACGAAAGGATGAGAGCTATCCTTATCGACTGGCTGATAGAGGTAAGCGAAATGTTGCATTAATTGACATTGCTCCTTGTTATGAGATGAATTAGGTAGTAATTCAAATTTCATCATGATTTTGACAGGTTCATTACAAGTTTGAGCTGATGGAAGAAAGCCTATATCTGACAGTCAATATAATCGATAGGTTTCTATCGGCTCATCAAGTAGTGAGGAAAAAACTTCAGCTGGTCGGAATAACAGCCGTGCTTATTGCCTGCAAATACGAAGAAGTTTCTG